TAGAAATTAAGTCTTTATTGTCTCAGATATTTTCCATTTACTGGAGGCATTATGTGAAGACAGTGGATCAAGTTTTCTAATGGGTTGATGTCACACGGACCTCGCCATAGTAAAACATCAATGACTGAGGCCACACTGGAATAAGGACAACAAAGTTACCTGAAAGGGAGCTATTGCCAGAAACAAACTGCAGTGATTCTGATACATCTAGTTCTCTGCAGCCTGGGTGTTTATCTAGAATTAATGAATAGCAACTTTTGGGTCTCACGAATGAAAAAAAAAATGTGTAATTTAAGAACAAAGGGGTTGGTTAGTTATGGTTTGTCTTTTAGGTATAACAGATGTGAAATTCTCCATGAATATCATACTATGTGCTTTGGAATTCTGGCAATTTTCCTCCCATGATCTTGCTATACTTATCTCCATCTCAAAACATACAAAGCTGAGTGACAGAGGTAAAAATCCCAAGTGTGCACAGCGTTAAATTTTTTACATGTTTATGTTTTTTTTAATAGTTGGGTGCTTCTAAATCACTTGGTATACTGCATTAATTAAAAACGTGGAAATAACACCACTTGTTTCCATTCAAATTATGTAAAGAATCTTTTTAATTTTATACAGAGAAGCAGAATGATAGGTGAAAAGAAAAAAACTCTATCCAGAGGGCACTTCTCTAATTGTTTAAAAAGCTCCATTTTTTAGTTCCATATTTTCAATTACACACCCAAAGTTCATATTCAAGATATCCTGAAATATAAAAAGGAAAATATGGATAAAGTAGCAGCAGTCTCTACAAGAAAATACATAAGTGGATCCTGGAATTCAAGTTAATGAAGCATGTTAATGTAAGTTCACAAAGTATGTTTCAATCTTGGAAATAATTTCCTGTATACATGCTCACCAAAGAGAATGATGAATTCATTTCATCACATATATAGCACCTGGGAAGGGGTCAGCTTTTAAATGACTCATATTCTGATAACTCTTCTGTACATTAGCACAAGATTAGTTTCTGTTTCCAGGATGGTCATAAGGTTAAATAAAGCTCCTATATTATCTTAAAAAATGAAAGAAGCACGTTTACCTTCAGATGATTGAGAGAAACTTAGCCTTTACTTCTTTCCTTCATCCAAAAAAATTAAAGAAGTATTTTTTTTCCAAATGCCATTTAATGAAAAGTGCCCTCTTAACTTTTAGGGATATTACTTCTTGGCCTTCAGTAAGGTCTCAGTAAATACTGATAATCAACTGCAAAGAACTGAAAGAAAACTGTTCACTTAGAAGTAAGGTTGAATTTTACTTCAAAAGGATAGATCTTAGAAAACATGATTCACGCTGATGAGGCAGTCTTAGTTTCTACAGAGTCAGAGCACAGGAGAGAGAGGGAGAGTCCACAGACTCTACTGAGTGGGTAGACCCAATAGCACATCTGTCCATTCCAACCACCCTGGTCTCCTGCAAAACCGAGCAAGTGCTGTGAGCACTGGGGAAAGCATCTAGCTTGCTGTATATAAAATAATTCTGTAAAGGGAATCTTTGTTCTACAATTTACAGATTCCCAGATACTACTTAGATTGTCTTGTCACTCATTTACCATATATATATAATATTATATATTATATATATAATATATATCCTTCTTTTGCAACTATGAATTCACTTGAAATTTCTGATTACTGCAAATCCTGAAAATCTGCAACAGCTTACTGCAAAAAATTTAAAGTGACTTGAGAAAGTATATTATTTATGGAGTATGATATCAGAAAGAGTATCCAGCATTTGTTTTATCTAATGATCCTTTTTAAAACAACTGGGAAGCCAGAATACAGAAATGTGGCTTTTGATAATATTTATGCAATCATTTCTTATTTTTTAAAGTTAAAGTAATTAGTAAATGTTCAGTGTCACTAATGTTTACTAAGAACTAAAGTAAAACAATGTCTATATTTCTTAGTACAATACAATTTTTAAAACAACTACATACATGTATATGCTTTAAATATTGGCAGATTGCTTTAAAATGAAATTCTTAGCAAAAGTTTTTGGTAATCTATTCACAGTTCTGGCTTAGAGTCACTGAAATTACAAGTCATAAGGATGAAAAGACCAATTGGCTCAGAAAACTGAACATTCGTTTCAAACAACACAAAACTGAAACAAGCAACAACCCTAACCCCTCCCCTCACAAGAAGTATAATTTAAACAAATACCAAAAGTTTTATCTAGGCAAAAACACATTCAACCACAGAACATCCAAAAAGCTAACAGGATCATTTCTATAATCATTCTGAAAACTAGTATAGAAAGCAAGGTAATTTGAGAATTTCTAAGATGTTCTCATTAACCATTAGTTATCGTATATTATGTAACATTTCCACATGAAGCTATTACATACTTACAAGTTAATATGGCATAACTTAACAATCTTGCTAGCTAACTATAATTTTAACCCTGGATATTACTGGTTTGAAGCTAATATGATTAGTCCTATTAGTTGTCATTGTCCTAAATTTAAAGATAATGTTTAAATTCATCAAGCTAGGGAGATAACTGAAATGTTTATTAACAATCTTTAAATATAGTGGGTAAAAACAGATTTATATGTTAAAACTTCTAAACTTGAGACTATTAACAGTAAAAACTGAAATGTGTTTCTGTGGGTAAAACACTGCCTGTCATTCTTGTACACAAAATTTACTAAATATGTAGATCTCACAAAATGAAATATCTTTACCATTCTCCTCAATTTCTTTGGCCTTTACAAATTCAATGTGAACTATGAATTCTTTTTCAATAAATACTTTTCATTGATTTTGTGCTTTTTTTCAGAAAAATCACTTAATTTGTAGCATATAATAACTAGGTAACACCAGTCTTTCTCTTTTATTGCTATAGCATATCCTACATATATATCTACATATATATATTTTTTAAAAAGATAAGAGAAAGAGCTGACCCAAAGGACTTAAAATATGTTTGTTAAAACAAACACTTTAGCTGGTTTTCCTTCTTTGAAGAGTAATGAAATAAATGTCAGAGGAATATTACCAATGACCCTCAAATAGGCTCCTTTTCTCCATCCTCAGAACTAACTCAGGACAAGAGACCCGGATTTAAAAGAAGACAGTATCACCTCAGAAACAACCTAAGAAAACTTTCAAAAGAGAAATAGCCCATCTGCACTCTACCCTGTGTCAGTTGCCTCTGAGGAGCAGGAACACTTGATTGTTTTTCATCTGCATGTTAATGACTCTGTATTGTTTATAGCCTGTGATTACAGCTCACTCTGCACATGCATTTCATTTCTTATAAACATTATATATGATATGCCCCCAAACTTAGACCATCATTTAAGTAAACAAATCCACTCAACTCACAGCACCCATGCCTTTCAATGAACCTAGCTACTCTTCTCCAGTGACAAGTCTACCTGGGGACAGACATTTTTTGAGAAGGAAGATGTAATTTTAAATGACCTGCACAGCTTATAATAGGTAGTCATAAAAAAAAAAAAAACCCGTTGACATAGTTATAACAAACTAAAAAGAGCTGACAACTTTTTTTTCCTCTTATATTTATCCTATGGTATATGTGATTTTTAAAGTGGAAAAGTTGACTCCAAAGTAATAATTATTTACTGGGCCATGTGTTAGATGTCCCCTGACTAAAAAGGGCCCACTGGGTAAGGGCATATGACTGAATTTAAACTTTAAATGTACTATAAGAAAACTTTTTATATAAAGAGCTCCTTTTGTAGAATACCTTTTTCTGAAAAACACATTTTTTTAAATAGTCTATATTACATTGGCTTTAACTGGGTATGCTCACTTATTTAGCCTTGCCTCACTGCAAGACCTTTTATGTGTTAAAAATTAATTTATAAAAACATTTAAAAATCACAACATTAAATGGGGTAGAGAGCAAGAAGAGAGAAAAGGGAAAAAAAATCATGTTTGGAAAATACCACTTCATCCTTCAATTTGGTTTTTGATACTCAGTTTAGAACTTACCCTAGCTTGGAGTATTTGTGTATGGAGTGTGATTTGGGGTACAAATCACAGCCAGACAGAAGTAAGTTCTGGAATTCTATTACACAGAAAGTGATGACAGCCAACAGTACCAAACGGTATAATTTAAAATAGATACAAAAGACCACTCTGATTGTTCTTATCACACAAAAAAAATGATAAATGTTTGAGATGATGGATAATCTAAGTATCCTGAGTTAATCATTTTACAATATACCAAAACATCACACTGTACCCCATAACAATACACAATAATTATGTTTATGTCATGTATGTCAATAAAATAATGCTGCAAACCCATACACGTGTCAAATGCTGCCGTACCAATATAAGAAATGATATAATACATATACTAAAACTCGTACGCTTACAGAAAATAATCTTATAAACAAAGTAGGTAAATACAGCTATAGCAGCTGTATGTGTTTGTGTGTGTGTGTATGATGTAAATAGTGACCATATTTTATTTTTAAAAACAATGAGATCCCTAGTCTCCATCAATGATTCCTTCCAAATTACCTCAAAATATGCCACTTCTTTCTCTACCCATCATGCACAAGCAGTGTTTTATACTTCTCTTGTAGCAATAATAGCTATCCAAAATCCTAACCTCATCAAGAAGTTCAAACAAAAAAAAAGGAAATAAAAGACTGAACTTACTAGAAATTATGCTAAATATTTCACCTTCACAATTTAAAAGTGAGTACTTCTGAAAGAGCTTAACCAAAACATAAGCACACTCTCCTATAGCCCTCAAGATCTAAACCAAAAAACTCTGTGAAAAAAATTTTAACTCACATTTTTGGGGTATCTAACTAATATTCTACTTTAAATATTTTAACCCAAAGTGTCAACTTCCACTTGTAACCGCAACCAGCTGAAGACATCTTACACCACTTTATTTACATCATCTTCATTCCTAAATAAATTTCAGGGTAGAACACAGAAAATACAGAGGAAAAAATCTAGGAATACTAAATATGATGCCCTTTATTTACTAATATCAGTGTAAAACATAAATTTTTCTTAGCCTAGCCTACCATACCCATTTAAGAGCCAAAGACTTGCAAATCTTCTAAACGATTTCAGAGAATTTCCAAACTGACACTAAAGGTTTATTAGTTTTATGCAACAAGGCAGTAAAGAAAGTCAAAATTAACTGTAGGAAATTCTTTCATGGGACAAAGTTGAAAAGAATATTGAATATATTGACAATCTGAAACATTTGATAGCAGCTCTGTTGTGATTTCAAGAACAAGATACAAATATGTCATTCAACAGTTACTTTAAAAATAAAGATTATAAACACAAGGAAATAAAAATTTATTTTAGATGAAAAAACAAGGAGTGGGTTACCCAACATCCTATCTTCAAATTTAAAATCACGTTATCAATTGTCCAATTGTCCAAAGCAATTCAAATTTAAAGTTTGTGCTATAAAATTGTGTACATGTGTTCTCTATAAGTGCATTGGAGAACATTCAATGCACTACTATAATATTCTGTTGCCTAAATCACCTCCACCTACAGATAACGGATAAGTATGAGAACTAAGGTTAACTGACCTTAGATATAAATCCCACCAAGAAAAGTTTTAAGCCTTTAAGTATTACAGTTTGATTTAAAAACAAAATAGAAACAAGTTCTGAAATAAATCACAGCATCTTCTGTTTATATATAACTTAGCAAAACCTTCAATAAACATCCAAGTGTTCACATATACTACCACTGGATTTAGAAAGCCCAAATAAATGCACAACTCTATGATTGGTCTGAATGAATAAAACAAATGCCAATTATTTTTAAAATATACAGTCCTCTTAAATTGAAGTGGAGGACCCATAAATTCAACACCCAGCATTCTTTAAAGAAAAAGACAGCTAAAATCTTTCCAATACAGATTCCAATTTAGATTTCATTATTCAAACTCCCCCACATTTTACTGGAAAAATATAAGAAGCAATTTCACAAAAATCACAAATTGAGTGGAATAATTATAACTGATATATAAATAAGAATTTACTAAAAAAGGCTTCCAGGGGGGGTGATATCTTAAATCAAAGCTTTCAATACAAAAGGTGTCTTGTGTTGTTTAATCTTCCCAAGTTTCAGATGCTTTTTACTCGACGGTTACAGATTTTGCAAGATTCCGTGGAAAATCAACCTATTAAAAGAAAAAGAAAAAAATAAAAAAGAGCAAGAGTTGAGAGATTATACAGATTGAGAAAAAGGGGTTTGTTATAAGAAAACTATTTTTGTTTAGAGCTGGGTGTGGTGGCACATGCCTGTAGTCCCAACTACTCAAGGGGCTGAGGTGGGAGGATGGATTAAGTCCAGGAGTTCAAGGCCTCCTTGAGCAATGTAGTTTCATATATATATATATATATATATATATATGTGTGTGTGTGTGTGTGTGTGTGTGTGTGTGTGTGTGTAGTTTCATATATATATATGAAATTACATTTAAACTAATATAATATTTAAAACATTATATTAGAAAATATAATCATGTAATATGTCTTGAAAAAAAAAAACTGAACTAGTTAGGAAAAAAATTTAAAAGTGCCAGCACACACAGAAAGAGTTAATTACTCTGGTCCTCTATAGAGGTGGTAACACACTCATAGGGACACTAGAAATACAAAAGCAGAATGTTTAGGTTACCACAATAATTGAGAGAGCAGGAATACTGGAATTCATACAATGTGTGAGAGAGTTCCAAACAACCAAAAATTCCCCTCTTCAAAATCCCACATGCTACTCTATGAAGAAAAACATACTAAGAAAACAGGTGGAGATTTCCCAAGGACAGTCCCAGTCCTGAAGGTCCTCCAAAGTACTTTCAAGTTTTATGAGTAAGAAGATATTATAACTTACAAATTGGGTCACAAAAAGATAATAGGTGACAAATACATATCTGATGGATTTTTCAAATGTTATTGTTAAAAATTTAGGAGAGAAATTATCAGAATGTACCCAAGTTAAAAAAAAAAAAAAAAAAAACCCTAATATTTCTGCAGAGGTGGGCCACTTACATCATAGCCTCTCAGCACTGCCAGGTGGAAAGCTAGCAACTGCAAAGGGATCACGCTGAGAATGCCCTGTAAGCAGTCCACTGAGTGTGGCACCTTGATTGTTCTTTTTGTGTTTTTAATGGTCTCAGTATCCTCCTTATCGCAAATCACCACAGGGCGCCCCTAGGAAATAAAATTACACACACACACATACATACATACTCAATCACTAGAAAAAAAATACAAGACTATTGGCACAAGAATATGCAAATTTTGCACTGCATAGTCTACACAAAGTCTCACTGACAGATTTATTTAAACACAAAGTCATACAGATTAAATCTGGTTGATCTCAATTAGGCAGTTGAAGAAACAGAAGTTTTGCGGAATTCAGTACTTTTTTTTTTTTTTAAGCTTACACAAGTAAGAAATTCCAGGTTTAGTGTTTGTTTGTTTGTTTGTTTGTTTTGGGGTTTATTCCAAGGCTTAGTGTTTGAATCCAGATATGCCTACCTTCCAAGTTTATTACCACTACATTGTGCTTATGGAGTAATACCTTATGGGATTTATATGTAAAGCCAAATGATCTGAAAAAATTATGCACAGCATTCATAATATTAACATTGAACAGTTAAGGTTTCTTCTGAGATAAATATTTAAGAATATTAAATTAAAAGGAAGAAGCATATGTTAAAACTGAAAGACGAAAGAATTTAGAAATCAAGGCCTCAGTTTTAGTCTTGTTTAAGCTTATTATTATAACAGAGAATTAGAATGTGCTTTTGCAGCAACAGATGCCCAGTGGGTAACTAAGATCAGGAGAAAAACTGACATGTCTGCCTTATTTTGTAATACATTTGTCTTCTTTATTACCTCAAACTCTGGTCAGATTCTGCACAACTCTGCATATGTTAATCATTTAAGCAATGTTTATCTAAAGCTGGTAATCCACCCCCTTTAAGGCTGAAGACGATAAGAATAACTAAGCTATTTCAAAATTTACAGGGCCATTCAACTGAAGCAGTGCTGTGAAGTCTTCAGTCATTGCCCTACATCTTTCATGAACATCAGAGCTTTGCAGACAGACCACCTCATGATGAGACTGCTGTCCTAAGCAGGAATAATCACCTCATAAGAATCAAAATGCCCCCAATAAAAGAAAGATCTGAGAGACAGCCCTTCAAAGCAAATAGAGATTGCCCTCTCAAGCCCTAAGATGATAAGGAATTTTCTGGGGCCACATCCCAGAATCAAAACTGAGATAAGGAATTGTGCATACTTTGTACCTCCTATCCCAATTCCTCCTCTATTTAATCCTGAAGCTCAAGTCAGTACCCCTGAAGGCTGAGACGCTTGATCTCACTTGCCTTCCCCATATGGCTTTATTAGAGTGCATACAAATAATGTCCTTGATAAAAGTTCCCTTCCAGCTTTTCATCATTACGTTTTCCATTTGATTTCTGGAATGAATGAATGGCCAGACCTGATCTGTTGGGCCCCCCAGAATCAGGCCTTGGTCTCCATTAACATTTTATCTATGAGGTCGATCCCATCAGAAGTCTAAGTATCTCATTCCTTACACATAAATCTCAAAGGTTGTACTCCAAAGCTAAATGTAAATGTTTTTTAATTTACCTATTCTGGCACTGATTTATTACTTTAAATATGATAAAATTCAAACAAACTTTAATAACTGACTCTTACAGTCCCAAGGTATCCTCACAGCCACCTCTGACTTACCTGACGAGCAACTACCTGCTGAAGAGCATTCTGACACTTTGCGTAAGTGTGATCTCTCATGATGATCATGATGACAGGCATCAACTTATCCACCAAGGCCAGAGGGCCATGTTTCAATTCACCAGCAAGGATGCCTTCAGAGTGCATATAAGTAATTTCTTTGATTTTCTAATAAGAAAGAACCAAATAAGCCTTCAGTCCATTTTTTAAAATTCTATCTTTAAGTAAATATTATACAAAGCATCTTATAATGTTAAGTCACTGCCTATTTATCCAACAGTATTAAAGCACCACAGATATATGGAAATATAGCTAACAATTTAACAGATCATTATTTCTATATTATCAACAAGTATTTAGAATTTTTTAAATGCACAGGTCTTCTTTAAGGTTTCAGATTATTATGAATATACATATTTCTCTGTAACTGTTCTCCCCTTGCTGTATGTTTGATCACAATTTAATTTCATACCTAGAGAACTTAATATTTTATTCCTTTTTGAACAATTTATACACTCAAGTTACTAAAATCTAAGTTAAACAAGCTAAGAGATCTTCTTGTTTTTTATAGGGGTTCTTTAAAAAGTTCCACATATTTCATTCATTCATTCTAAAAGTATGGAAGGGTAGGGGATAATTCAGTGATAGAGCACTCACTTAGCATGCATAAGACACTGCAAAAAGTAGTAAGTATGACTACATGCCAGGTCCATAAGTCAGAAGACTAAAATTAACTGTAAATGAGGAAACATACCAGTGCCCCTTCAAGACAAGTAGCATAATGATAGCCTCGTCCCATTATCAGGACTGACTTCTGATGATAAAGTTCTGTTGCCAATTTCTGAATTTCATCATCCATGCTCAGTACTTCTTTAATTAAATCTGTTAAGAAGTAAATTTACTATTATCAAAATCTATGAGAAATGGATCATTAACTGAACAAACAGATATAACAACAATAATATATTGGTAGCAACCAACGAAAGACCAATATTTCTATTCTTCTGTTATCAGCATAGGATTTTTAAATACATGGGAGCAAAAAATAGAATGATCTTATATTAACTAAGTAGTTACAAACCACAGATTCAACAGTAATAAAAGAATTTCATTCACTACCAACTCACTTAGAAAACAAAAGTAAAGTTTCCTCTCTTGGAGGCAGCCTATTCCACACACCTTGGAGTGTTACTTCCATTTCTCTAAATAAACCCCATACACATTTTCTACTGGTGTCTCTGAACCCTTTCTTTCAGGAAGACAAGAACCAGGGAACCCCATCACCAAGTAATATAACTGGTGCTGTGACATGGATTGCTATAAGAACTAACCTGCAGATGCCCCTGAGGGACTATGCCTAGGGACTATGCCTGTGGCTCTGCTGCCATCATCATCTGTATTAAAGATTCCACAGTGCTCACCTGCCATCAAACACCTCCTCTTAGGCTAAAGCAAGGAACCCTAAAACTCACTATCCCAACCCCTTGACTACAGGCATATAACACCAGGCCCCACTACCATGCATAGCTTGAATCCAAAAATGTTGGCTGGCCATTTGTTTCCTTATTTGAAAATTCATTTTATTGTTCTTCACCCATTTTTCAACTTGGGCTTTTGTTTGTCTTGTCTAGCAAGATCTTGAACTCTACAAAATCAAACAAGTGATCCAACACTCACAACCAGAAGGGTTTTAGAGTTCTGAGTCCCTGAGAGGGGAATAAGTAGCCAGACAGACATGAGCAAGGGAGGTGGGGAAAAGAAATTCAGGCTCTACCCCTGTGTGGCACCCAACTGGCTGTTATACTGCCCAGGGACCTCAGCTACTTGTCAATCTGGAGAAATGGATAAGGTCTATGATAACAAAAATTTCCAACAAGGTAATATTGGTGCAGATGCACTAAACTATGGCAGGAAATTGTACTAACGACCCCAGATAAATAATTCGTGGAAGGAAGGCTCCCAAACAGGTCATAAACAACTCAGAAGACATGAGGCTATTTCCTCTCTTAAAGGCACCCACTCCATGTACCTTGAAGCATTATTTCCCTTTCACTAAATAAACCCTTTACAACACTTTTTCTAAAAAGAAAACTAAAATGTGAATATCCTTGTACCAGGCAGCCGTTTCAATCCAAGCATGATCTCTTTGCGTCTCTCTTGCATGGAGATTCTGTCATCACACATCATAAGGGCAAACATCACAAGAGATACAAACTGGCTGGTGTAAGCCTGAAATGTCACAAAAAAGGCAGAAATTAGTGGCAGTTGCATCTTAAAATATATTTTTTTAAAAGGATGAAAAGAAAATACACATTCATTTTTTTTATTTGGTTTTGGTACTAGGAATTTAATTCAGGGGCTTTTAACCACTGAACCACATACCTAGCCCTTTTCTATTTTGAGACAGGTCCTTGCTAAATTCCTAAGGCTGGCCTTGAACCTGCAGTCCTCCTGTCTCAGCCTCCCAAGCTGCTGGGATTACAGGCATGCATCACCACACCCAGCTCCCAGTAGTTTTACAATGTACATTGTCTATCTTTTAAAAGCAACACAAGTGGCACTAAACTGGAAATAGTCCATTTTGGCTGCTAGACAATTGACACCACCACCCCTTTTTTTTTCCCTTGAGTCAGGGTCCTGCTGGGTTGTCCAGGCTGGTCTTGAACTCAATGGTTCAATGATCCTTCTCTCTCCACCTTCCATGTAGCTGCGACTACAGGCATATAACATCAGGACCCACTACCATGCATAGCTTGAATCCAAAAATGTTGGTTGGCCATTTGTTTCCTTATTTGAAAATTCTTTTTGTTGTTCTTCACCCATTTTTCAACTGGGGCTTTTGTTTGTCTTCTTCTTCTTTTTTTTAAATTATTCTTAAGAAGGCTTTTAATATATTTTGAGTATTTTTCTTAAGTTTGGTAGACACACAGTTTTGTTTTGTTTTTAACTTTTATGTAGTATTTGTCAGCTTAGCCAATGCTTCCATATTGTAACACCAGTTAAATATTAAACTTTCTTAGTTCTGTTGCTTTAACTGTTCCTTTTTATTGATTTTTCTTTTTCTTTTTAGTATATCTGAAATTGATTTTGATATAAGATGGTACCTTCTGTTTTTATTTTATAAGCAGCCAATTTTGCCTCCATTTTCTATTGATTTCTGACACTTCCTGTAGTCTGAGTTCCTTGCTATCCTAGATCTATGTTGCAAGACTACTGATTTTGTCTCACAGTTCCAACATCTCTACAAAAATCAATTTTCTATTCAGAATAACGTACTTTCATCAATTTGTGCTGGGAATTTTTAAGTCTATAATATACTAGTTTTCATTTATTAAACAAATATTTATGGGGCATCTTGTTTCTTAGTAAAGTTTTTTTTTACTTACTTTCTACAGCTATTAAAAATAAGAGTTCCTCTCCAACACATACCTCTTCATCTACTTTTCTAAGTAGATATTTTCAATTTATAGACAAGACTTCTTCCAATATGTTTTATAAAAAGCACTTTCTGAATTCTTACCCATTCTAAGTCTTTAGTTGATATTCTTGTGCTTTATAAGTAGTCAATTATAACTGCAATGGAGAATTTTGTTTTATCCTTTTCTGTTGTTTTACTTATCTCTTTCTTATTAAACTGAACAGAACTTCCAGTACAGAGACAGCAAACAGATTTCATATAAAACCAATGCTAACACATCAGGACTTAGTGAAACATCACACTGAGAAAGATTCTATGGCCATCCTGTTTGCTTTTGCACTACAATACTATAGATGAAATTCCAGGAAGGTTCCAAAAGAGCAGGTAAGAACCACTAACAAGAAGGTTTTAAAACTTTCTGTTTTGCAGTTCACTCATTCATTTTTCTCTATTATTTGTCAACTTCTGTTTTGTTTATTCATTTATTCATATGTGGTGCTGAGAATTGAACCCAGTGCCTCACACATGCTAGGCAAGCGCTCTACCACTGAGCCACAACCCCAGCCCCAGCCCCAATATCTTGACTTGTGGGATATCCAAACTGTTTCCAATCCAAACTGACGAGACAATAAGTATTCCAATTCCGCTAGCCAATTACTAAAAATGTCATTCTACAAACTAATGTTTCTTTGGAATGCAAACATTTCAACATTATTTTTTAAATATAAATATTAAACAGAGTAACTTTAATGTATACATTTTTCCATTACTCTGCTGTTACAGTATAATTTCCAATTTTAAAATCATGTTTTTCTCCACGCCCTACCCCACCAGTGCTGGGAATTGAACTTAGAACATCATGCATGTTTGGCAAATACTCTACGACTGAACTATACTCCCAGTCCCCATATTTTTTATTTTATCAATATATACAAGGAAAACAACTGTAAGAAAATTAAGCAACACCACACATTTAGAATCTACTGAGGTTTGAAAGAATTAACCAGGAAAATGTTGACTCTGAACTTTTAAACTTGGTTTTTCTTTTTATTCAGCCAAAAACAAAGTCAGATGAGTATATTTCTAAAGTCAGCACTGTGGTGAAATTTTAAACACCTGCAATAACATACAAAAATGGCTGAACCTGCACATTTATATCCATCAATTCCTACAGAAATATCAAATTGTCTATGGTCTGACATTATGGGAAATAATATCCCTGTAATCCTAATAGTTTTTTCAGGCAAAGCTGGGAATTCATACGCTGGATCATTGAGCTTAAGTAACAGGATCAATGATGAACTCTTTTGATTACCCATTAACATACACATTTACCATTCAGAAATGGTCTATGACTAAATATTCCAACACTTATTTTAAATAACTCCAGCCCAGAATATCTAAGACAGTTGAAGAAAAAATTACTTTGAAATCCAAGAAAAAAAATTAAAGTAACACCAAATCGCCATATTGCCATATTGTCAAATTTTTTAAGACAAGTTTTTTTTTTCTTTTGTTTTGGAGAGTGAGGGTACCTGGAATTAAACTCAGGGGCACTCGACCACTGAGCCACATTCCTAGCCCTATTTTGTATTTCATGTAGAGATAGGGTCTCACTGAGTTGCTTAGCACCTCGCTTTTGCTGAGGCTGGCTTTGAACTTGCAATCTTCCTGTCTCAGCTCCTGAGGCACTGGGATTACACACGTGCGTCACTGCACCCAGCCAAGAAATTTAAGTATGTACTATAAAAAGATGCTTGTTTCAGTGTTGGGGTTCTGGATTAGTGGTAGAGCACTCACCTAGCATGTGTGAGGCACTGGGTTCGATCCTCAGCACCACATAGTAAATAAACAAACAAATAAATAAAATGAAGGTATTAAAAACATATATGCTTATTTCAGAAGATATAAGGATTGGGGAAAACTGGGTGAAGGAAACATGGGACTTCTCTGTACTAGTGCTATAGTCTAGAGGAGTATTCCCCTCAAAGGTTTGGTTCCCCAGGTGGCACTACTGGGAGGTAGTAGGACCTTTAAGAGCTGGAACCTACTGGAAGGTCCTCAGGTCACTGGGCATATGTCCTCAAAGGAGACTGTGGGACCCCTGATTCTTAGTCTCTCTCAGCTTTCTGGCTCAGCTGTTGTTCTACCATGCACTCCTGCTGTGATGTAGCATCCCTGCCAGAGGCATAAAATGGGACTGCCTAATTTGGAAATGGAAACTCCAGAAATGTGAGCCAAAAGAAATCTTTTCTCTTTTATAAGTTAACCTGCCTCAGATATTTCATTATAGTAATGTGAACTTGATTAATAACAACTTTGTAACTTCCTCTAAATCTATGTTTATTTCAAAATAAAAATATTTTAAAGACTTGCAGAAAGAACTATTAATACAAGTAACAGTATCAATGAACCTCAAAAACTTCATACTAAATGAAAGAAACCAGACATAAAAGACAAGTATTATACCATCCCATTTATAAGAAATTTCTGAAAAATGACAAAATACAGCAAGGGAAAGCAGTAGCTGCTGGGTATGAGGCTGGAGGTTAAGGGTGGGAACTGGCGATCAAGGAGTACAAAGAAACTTTGGCATGTGATTAAAGTCTTAGTCTAAAACTGGGTTGTTGGGACAGTTGCATAGCCAAATAAATTTACTGACACTACACACTTAAAACTGGTGAATGTTATATCATGAAAACGATCTCTCTGTAAAACTGTAGAAAAAAAGGTTAATGGTAGAATCCAATTGATGAGTATTGATGGGTGTTAATGTAAAATTATTTTAACTCTGCTACATGTTTGAATATTGTCATAATAAAAAGTTCTCGTTAAAAAAAGTGAAAATTTTAAAAATAGCATTTCCCTTGGCAGCTCACAATTCCAGAAAGATCTTATAAAAGACGAACTGTGCTATATTCCACATACACCACATTAAAGCCCTTGTTTCACGATATGTTGTGAATAAAGAAGCCCTGGGATTCTAATCACCACCCTCATCAAAGCATCTGTCTGGACACTGCTCTAAAAATCCATTAACTGTTGCTGAGGGCAGCTGGTTATTTATTCAGCCACAGGATGAAAACCAAGCACAAACAACTTACATTTTAATTACCATACAGAGAAAATTCAAGTTTCAGCTATCCATAAATTATAGTGTTAGTAGTATCAAAATACCCAAGAAATTAAAACCTCAAAGTTTTTACATAAGAATTACAAATTTTGCACACACAAAAAAATTTTCCATGAGATTCTTTTTGAGGAAAAAAAAGTTAAGTGTGGTTATTGATCCATTACCATCATCTTCCATAACCCTTTAATTAAACTCAAAACCATCAGCACTAAAGTGTCTTATTAGATAATCAGCAAAAAATATTAGATTTAAACAGAAAAACAGATAATGAGAAATTGAACATTTGGAAATCATAAAGTGTAATATCTATGGAGAGATAAGTCATCTGCATTTATATAACTTTCTAAGATTAATTTTTTAAAAATATTTTTTTTAGTTGTTCGTGGACCTTTATTTTATTTTTATGTGGTGCTGATAATCAAACCCAATGCCTCACACACACTAGACAAGCACTCTACCACTAAGATACAACCCCAGTCCTGATTTTTTTTAATTATTATTAAATTTATGCATGTCCTACTTTCAAAGAGCAACATGGTCTTAATAAGCCTTTAAAAGAACTGAAATTCAGAAAAGTAGCAGGATATAAGGTCAACATCCACAAATAAATCACATTCCTGTACTAAATGATGAATCTACTAAAAAAGAATTAGGAAAACTGTCCCATTGAAAATAGCTTCAAAAATAAATAAAATAATTGGAAATCAATCTAACAAAAGAGGTAAAGGACCTATACAATGAAAGTTATAGAACACTGAAGAAAGAAATTGAAGAAGATCTCAAAAGATGGAAAGATCTCCCATGTTTTTGGATAGGCAGAATTAATACCGTCAAAATGGCCATACTATCAAAAGCACTATACAGATTCAATGCATTTCCCATCAAAATTACAATGATGTTCTTCACAGAACTAGAAAAGCAGTTATGGAATTCATTTGCATAAATAAAAGATTCAGAATAGCCAAAGCAATTGTTTAGAAAAGGAGGCATTGTTTAGAAGCATGAAGCATCAAAATACCAGAACTAAATTATATACTACAGAGCTACAGTAACAAAAATAGCATACTATTGGCATCAAAACAGATATGAAGTCCAATGGAACAGAATAGAAAACACAGAGACAAACCCACATGAATACAGGTATCTCATACTAGACCAAACATACATTGGAAAAAAGTAACCTTTTTAACAAATGGTGCAGGGTAAACTGGAAATTCATATGCAGTAGAATGAAATTTAACCCCCTTCTCTCATCTTCCACAAAATTCAAAGTAGATCAAAGACCTAGGAATTAGACCAGAAACCCTGCACGTGCTATAAGAAAATGTAGGCCCAATACTCCAACACGTCAGCTCAGGAACTGACTTCCTTAAAAGATTCCTAAGGCTCAAGAAATAAAATCAAACATCAATAAGTGGAACGAAATCAAATTTAAAAGCTTCTTTACAGCAAAAGAAACAATAAAGAGTGTGAAGAGAGAACCAACAGAATGGGAGAAAATCTCTGCCACCTGCTCCTGAGATAGGGTATTAATATCCAAGATATATAAAGAACTCAAAAACTTAACACCTAAAATCATCATCATCATCATCATCTTCCAATCAATAAATGGGCAAAAGAACTAAACACATCTCAAAATAAGAAATACAAATGGTTAACAAATAAATGAAAAAAATATTCAACATCTCTAGCAATTAGAGAAATGCAAATTAAAACTACACTGAGCTTTCATCTCGCTCCAGTCAAAATGGCAATTATCAAGAATACAAGAAGAATAAATGTTGGCAAGGATATAGAGGAAAAGGTACACTCATAAATTATTAGTGGGACTGCAAATTAGTGCAACTGTTCTGGAAAGCAACATGGACATTCCTCAAAAAACTAGGAATGGAACCACAATATGACCCAGCCATCCCACTTCTCAGTAAATATCCAAAGGATTTAAAATCAGTATATTACAGAGACACAGCAATAGCAATGTTTATATAGAAGCTCAATTCACAACAGCCAAACTAAAGAGCCAATCTAGGTGCCCTTCAACAAATGAATGGATAAAGAAAATATGGCATACATACACAACGGAGTATTACTTGGTCATAAAGAAGAATGACTTTATGACATTTGCTGGTAAATAGATGGATCTGGAGACTATCATGCTAAGTAAAATAAGCCAATCACAAAAAACCAAAGGTCAAATGTTTTCTCTGATATGTGGAAACTAACCCACAATAAGCAGCAGTCCAGGGAAGAATAGAAGTTCAGTGGGGTAGACTAAGGGAAATGAAGGGAAGGGAGGGGAAATGGGAAAAGGAAAGACTGTAAAATGAATACAACATAACCTTCCTATGTACATATACGAATATAACCACAGTGAATCTCACCATCGTGTACATTCATAACAATTTTTTAAAAACTACAAATAAATAGTAGAAAGATCAGTAGAGTTGTGAGAAGGGAATGGGGGAAGGAGAACTAGGAATTAAATCAGAACAAATTATATTCTATGCTTTTATAATTATGTCAAAATGAATTCTATTGTCATGTATAACTAAAAAGACCCAATAAGAAAAATAATAAAGTATTTAAAAAAAAAAAAGAACTAAAAGGCAAAGGCAGAAGCCAGATGTAGTGGTACATGATTGTAATCCCAGGAACTTGGGAAGATAAGGCAGAAGGATTTCAAGTACAAGGCTAGTCTCAGCAACTTAGTAAGACCCTCAGTAACTTAGTGAGATACTTTCAAAAAATAAAAAAGACTGAGGGTGTAACTCTGTGGTAAAGCACCTGTGGGTTCCATCCACCATATCAAAAAAGGAGAGAAAGAAATGAAAGTTCCTTTATACCTCCACAAATGTAACATCTAACTAGAAATATATATATTTTCATAAAATACTCATTTATTTGGTATTTTTATTTGTTCTTATTAGTTATACATGATAGAATCTATCTTGACATACATATTTAGAGTATAACTTCTCATTCTTCTGGTTGTACATGATACAGAATTAATCATATATGCACATAGGATAGTAATGTTCAATTCATTCTACTATTTTTCCTATTCCCATTCACCCTCCCTTCCCTTCATTACCCTTTGTCTAATCCAAAGAACTTCTATTCTTCCCTACCCACCCCCATTATTGTGAGTCAGCATCCGCATATGAGAGAAAACATTCAGCCTTTGTTTTGGGGGGACTGGCTTATTTTACTTAGGATGATATTCTTCAGTCCCATCCATTTACCAGCAAATGCCATAATTTTATTCTTCTTTATGGCCGAGTAATATTCCATTTTGTATATGTACCACACTTTCTTTATCTATTTATCTGTAGAAGGGCACCTAGGTTGGGTCTATAATTTAGCTATTGTTTTTTAATTTTTTAAAAATATTAGTTTTTTTTTTTTTTTTTTTTTTTTTTTTTTTTTTTTTTTTTTTAAACATATTTATTTATTTAGTTATTGACAGACACAACATCTTTGTTGGTATGTGGTGCTGAGGATCGAACCCGGGCCACACGCATGCCAAACGAGCGTGCTACCGCTTGAGCCACATCTCCAGCCCCAAAAAAAAATATTAGTTTTTAAATTGCCAAATTTATACCAAATGTATACTCCTTACAAATCTTCAAAAGTAGTACATAATTTTGACCTATTTATAAGAATCCAGGAATCTATAAATAAAAATGTCAAAAAAACTACCTTAATTAAACTGGATATTTCCAATCTATTACTTTTCTAATTCATAACTATATTTAATAAAAGAAAGGGGTGCCATATGCATAAGTACTATGTATTCCACTATGCCTCACAGGAGGATTACAAGTGATGAATAGGGACAGCCAGCAAGGACATTTTCAAAGTAGACTTATGATATATACTTTGTCCTTTTTAAACACTCAGATTGGAGAGAAGAAGAGTAGATGACAGTCTTATCTATACTGACCTTTAAGTCTTACAATAATTACAATGACAAGTAAAATATATGAGTTCTATAACTGCTAAAAAAAAAAAAAAAGAAAGAAAGAAAAAGAAAAAGAAGATATAGACTATACTATATGCTAGTCTGTTTTACCCAATACTATGATTAATAATCATCAGAGACAGAATTCAAGAATTTACCTTTGTACTGGCCACACCAATCTCAGGACCGGCATTAATATGAACACCACAATCTGTCTCTCTTGATATAGAACTGCCAACTGTGTTTGTGATTCCCACAGTTAAAGCTCCTCTCTCCTTACAGTACCGAAGACCCATCAGGGTATCTGCTGTCTCACCTGTATAAAAGAGTACAGCAAAAGTACAACATGGAATAGTTTCAGCATATGTTGTTTCTTAGATGTAAAAACAAATGGATCACATTTTTAATAATATCACACATTTTAAATGAAACAGAAAAGATGCCTTTAATAAACTTAAAAATTTTTTAATAGGTTTTTTAGGATCCCTTTGCCTCCTGTCTGAAAATTCAACTCTTTGCAAGTAAAAGATATTCATTTTTACTAATTCATAAAGAACATAAATATGGAAGTAAATCTGTATGTCATGCAAAACCAATTTATTTTTAAATACCATTGTTTGCCAAGATATGCTAGAATTATTAGAAAAAAAATGACTTTCCTTCAAGTTTTTAAAATGAACTTACCTGATTGACTAATGAAAAAGCAAACATCATCTCGAAAGACTGGTGTGTTTCTATCTAGGAAATCACTGGCTAGTTCCACCATCACTGGCAATTCAGTCAGCTCCTCAAGAACCTGACGTGTCTGCAGAGAAAAGGTGATGTAATCATACAACTTGCCTTCAGATACTTTTTTCCACTGGGTTTCTTTGGACTTAACATACAGTTTTCACTTTTTCTGATTATAAAAATGATAAATACATAAAGTTAGAAAATACAATACAGATTAAAGCATAAAAAATAAGATCCCACTACCCAAGAAATAAGCACTGTTAACATTTCAGAACAAGTCTCTTTAGACGACTACCAATGCAAATACACCCACACATAAAACATTTTGAGAAACAGAAAAAGCACTGTTGTGAGTCAGCTTGTATATTATCTCTAAACTTCCCAATTCCTAATCTTTAAAATGAAAATTCATATAATACCATACTCATTGAGGGATTTCAAACGAGACAACAGATGTACAAGTATTCAGTGAAAACCTGAACACTTTAAACATGCAATGTATGTATACATAGTATCATTTTCCAAAAAAGTCAGCACATTTTAGAAATCCTGTTTTTAAGAAAGCTCACATTTTCAAATTTTGGAGTATTGAAGAGGGGTGATAAGAGTGTGGTTTATGTCTCTGTTCAAAGGACACCTTATTTCCTTTCACTCAATTTCCATTCTAATTAATTTTTTTTTTAATTTTCTCCAAACATAAAATTAATAGAAAATATAAATGTTCAGACAGAAAAACTTGAGGCTCTATGGATGTGAATAGGTATAGTGATTCTTTTTTTTTTTTTTTTTTAAAGAGAGGGAGAGAGAGAGAGAAAGAATTTTTAATATTTATTTTTTTTAGTTATCGGCAGACGTTGTCTTTGTATGTGGTGCTGAGGATTGAACCCAGGCCGCACGCATGCCAGGCAAGCGCGCTACCACTTGAGCCACATCCCAGCCCGGTATAGTGATTCTTTTAACACAAACTCTAGAGACGCCCTGACCTGACAGCCCTCCAACACCCTCACCAAGCAAGCCCATCTTTCACCTCATCTCTACATTCCTCCTCCATAGTAATAAAGACTGTAAATATGTCCTTATTCCACAGCCCTTCAACTTTTGCTTGTCCACAAATTGAAACAGAACTGGATTGTTCTATTTAGATTTCCAATAACTTGGGTTTGGCATTTTTTGGAAATATTTTAACACCATGAACAGAGTCTTCAAAACTAAAATGCTCTTGCAGGCATGGTGATAAAAGCCTATAATCCCAGTGATTCAGAGGCTGAAGCAGGAGGATCACAACTTCAAAGCCAGCCTCAGCAACTCAGTGGGTCTCTAAGCAACTTACTGAGACTTAGTGATGAGACTCTGCCTTAAAATAAAAAATAAAAAAGGGCTGGGGACATAGCTCAATAGTTAAGCACCCTGGGTTCAATCCACGGTTCCAAAAAAAGAAATGCTCCTTTTGTCATTATTTTCCACTGACGTATTTTCCTTATTAATTATATATAAGTTATTGACATTAAAATGCTAGAGTTTTTCAAGATGGCAGAATACAGGAGGTCGTGTTCCTGGCTGCTTTGTGGTGTGAAACCAAGAAAGTAGACAGGGAGCTTCTCCACAAGGTGGGTGAACCAAAGGGGGTGGGGGGTGCTTTACCGGAATTTAAAATTGGACATTTAAAGCAGAATGGGGACACAGGAGGTTAGATATAATAAGGAAAAAATCCTCACGGACACAGCTGCTGCCATAACTGGGTCAGAAGCACCAGTCAAAGTGGTTCCTCTGTGAGGACAGTACAGGGATAAGGGAATGAAAGCAACCCACATTTTTGGGAGGTCCAAGGTGCATTTTGGGAAGGTCCAAGGTGTACCTGGGTATGAAGCCTTTAGAGATCAAGGACATTGCCCAACAAACCTAAAAGATGCGCCGCATCATATCTGTGTGTGGGGAAAGAAGCCGCCATCTCTCCAGGCTATGTGCAGAGAACAAAGGAAGGCACCATTTCCCAGCTGTGCGCCGCCCCCCTACCCCAGCATCTGAGGAAGCCAATTCCTGGCAAACCCAAGTTTGGCCCAAAATACAGGTCCAGTAAACATACATTGAGCAACAAAGTGTGCTTAAGTGACCAGGAGAAAATCAAACGTACAGAGAGGTTTACATAGGAGACTACTGGTCTCAGAAACCCACCCAGCTCTACCCTTCTTCCTCCAACTAGACTGCTTGCAGGCCTGGCTGGGAGAGACAAATCCCAGAACTCGGAAGGGCAGGAGTGAATTTGGCTGGGAACTCAGAAGGGCAGGACCAGGAGAGATTTGTTCCTAGACTGAAGGCCCAGATCAGTAAACGTGGTATCCACAGTGTGACAAAGGGGACTAAGAATGGGGCCTCCCATCACATGCGTGGAACCCAGGGGAGAGCCCTGGGGTACATTCTTCCAGCATGGACCAGCAATTACTGGACACTGGTGGTGTACTGATCTAAATCTCCAGACCAACTGGCATTCAGTGAAAAGCCTGGAGCCCACCCCTAAGCCTAAACCCTGTCTCCAGAAATTCCTCCTACAGGATTACCTTTCTCACACCAGCAAGCCAGAGGGTGGAGCATCATGATCCAGATGACACCCACCTAAAACTGCTGAGAAAAGAAACTGAGAATATACTGAACTACAATAGAAATAATTCTTTAACTTTTCATCAAGATGTTTTTTCCTTTTATAAAAATTTTTTTATTCTTTTACTCATTTAATTGTGACCTTGATGGTACATGGATATTTATACATTTTCATTTTTGTTTTCTTCTCTCATGTCTAGCATTTTTGAAGCCAGTTATTTTTTATGGATTAGTTTTTTGTGAATTAGAATGTTGGATTAGTATTTTTTAGTTTCGTTTTGTGTACTTTATTTTTATTTTTGTTTTAAATTTTTACTTTATATATATATGTGTGTGTATGTTTTTCTCCTATGGTTTCCCTTCATTCTCTTTTCTTCTGCTAACAGCATATCTCTATTTTCTCCCTTTCACTCTTCCTTTGATCTTTCACTTCTGTCTTATCTCCTCCTCTCTCATAATCATCACATCCTATATCACTTCTGTTCTCTCCCTGTCCACCATTTGAAACTGTAAATCCTTTTGCAAATTTGCTATTTTTACCGTAGGCAATAACTGACCATATCATTTCTGTATATTATCATAAATAACACTGTAGATGTCGTAGTAGGAATTATCTGGTTTACTGCTGTATATTGCTTGCAATGGTTGTTATTATTTATCTCCCCTAAACAGTGAAGGTACTGGAAAACTTCAGGGACACTGTAAGTCCACAGGGTAGAAATTCTACTGCCTTAGATCCATACTGTTAGATGGGTAGACACACAAACAACATGAAAAAGCAGGGGAACAAACTGTCACAAACAAATAACAGAATCCACTGACATCACAGTAAAAGAAATGTCAGACAAGGAGTTTAGAATGTACACAGTTAAACTGATCTGCAAAGTAAAGGACAGCATAAAGAATGAAATCAGAGAGAATATACAGGAAGGGAAAAATCACTTTGATAAAGAGGCAGAGATGCAACAGTACTGCATCTCTGAACATGCTGCCCAACCACACAGCCCACCCTCACTACCCCGGGGATCTCAGAAAGTAGTCGCTTCCATCTTGGGACACCTTTGCCACAATCTTGAGTTACCCCTGCCTCTACCATCGCCATCTTTAGTTGGGGCAACTCCCATCTTGGGACACCAGCTGAGGCCTAAAAGCAATATCAAGGTCCCTACAGTCTCCCAACAACCCCCTCTCCCCAGCCACCAACCCGGCACCACAATGCTTGCAGCTACGTGGCTGGCCCGTAGCTCTCAAAGCCTGGTCCTGATCTGCCCGATACAGAACAGCTCTCCACGACAGGGGTACAGGCCCCAGTGCTCTGCCCACAGGACCACCAGAGAGAGAGATTCCTGATTGGGAAGTAGAAAGGGAGAGGGCAAGAGAGATACAGTTTAGAGTATAAATTAAGAGACCAAGAACTGTGGGGTCTACAGGCGATATAAAGGGCTAAGACCAGGCACCCACATCTCACAAGTGGGCCCCAAAGAAGATCCTTGGAGCACAGTCTTTGAACAGGGACCGGCAAATGCTATATCCTACCTCCAGGAGTTCCGCCTCCAAGACCAATCCTCCCACCTTAATAACCTTTACTATACTGAGAATGGAGATACTAGCAAACACCAGACAACCAACTCCAACTATCAACTGAGAAGGCAAGCAGGAAAGATACTGAACTCAAACAGAAAGAATTGTACAATTTTCCTTCAAGGTTTTTTTTCCCCTCTTTTCCCACCCTCACATCCCCAACATTTGTGAAACCAAGTATTTTTCATGTAGTAGGCTACTGAGGACTGGGTTGTCTGAATAGTATATTACAACTTTGTTGTATACTCTTTTATCTTTTGTTTTTCATTTTCTTATTAATTTTGTTTTGTTTTGTTTTATGTATTCCCTCTATTTTCTTCCCATTTATCTTGAAAGGTTAATAATCTTGAGAACTGTTTGCTAATCTTGTTCCCAGAATGTGCTGTCCCTAACTGCCGGTTGCAGGCAAACCGCCCACTCGCCCTGACCCGTCAATGAACTTCCCTCCCTGCCCTCTCCAAGGAAAGTATATAAGCTCTGCTTAAGCTGTTCTCAGGGCTCTTTGCTCTATTCAAGTGAGCTCTGAGCCCCAGCATGCTGGACCCCAATAAACCCTTTGCTGTTGCATGAGACAGTCTCTTGGTGGTCTCTTCCTCCAACACTCGCCTAACCTTTACAATCTGTCTCCCCAGAGTCTCTTTCTCTCTTTTCTCCTGCTACCAGCCAACTTCTATTCATTCCTCTTTCACACTTCCTAAAATCTAATATTTCTATATCCTCATTTCCTACCTTCTTAACATCTATCTCATCCTATACCCCCTCCCTAGATTCTCTCTTTGTCCATTATTAGAAACTATGGACCCTTTTGCAAATCTATTGTTTATATTATAGATAATAATGGAATACAACATTTTTGTTTATTGCAACAAAACTGTAAACATCTTAATAGGAGCTATT